GGAAAGAGGGAAGCAGTAGGTCAACTAGGACTTTGCAGAGCAGAGGCTTTTAGCAAGAAGTTTTCTTACCCCTCCAGGGTAGGTACAAATTAACTGTCTAGCTGTGTGCTTATGTGTTGTGCCCTGGGCCCACTTCTTCCCATGTAAGTACTGCAGCTTGATGCTGGCGAAGAGATCGGTGGGAGAGATTCCTTGAGGCTTGTTGTTGATTGTCACGCAGCCTCTCCCGGCTCTCTGCCAGAAGTAAATACTTAAGTGTCATACCTAAGTGGTGGCTGTGACAGGTGCTACAGTACTGATGTGCCAGCACTGACAAGCTGGAGAGGGAGCAGCAGCAGTGGACTTGAGGTGACCTTTGCACTCCACATGCAGCTTGTTTGCTGAACACTTTGAGGACCTGGGGTTTTTTTTTTTCTTTTGCTCATGCCTTACAGCCCAGCTTTCTCTGAACCAGCTTCTCCCCTGCTGAATTCAACGTTGAAGAAGTGGCTGTGAAGTGATGAAATGAGCTTTAGGGAGTTCAGTAGATGATGTGTGTGTCCACTCCTGTTCAGGGAGAATGGAAGAGGCACACTGAAGAGATAAGTAGTTGCTTCTAGTGTGGTCTTTGAAAAAGAGAAGTGCAGACATAAGTTACTCGACCAAATCTTTGCCCACGCTTCAAGATTACAGGGATGCAACCAGCTGTTTCTTTAGTGAGTATTGCTTTCCCTTTGTATGAGAGGCACCTTTTGTGTGGAAGTTTAGCTATCTAGACAGTTTTGGTATTTCTAGAGGAAGACTTTGTATCTTCCTGCCATCCCCTGCACTCGGAGGAGAGATGGAGTCCCTGACATGACAGAAGACTCCTGGAATCTCCTGTGAAGTGTGGGGAGATCGCCAGAGACAGGGTTTTCCATAAACATAAGTACAGGTCAAGAAACGGTTCTGTGTAATGCAGGCTGGGTCCTGTGGCCTGAAGGGGAAAGGGTAGGACCTTTCTTGCCTAGTGAAATGACATTTATATGTTTATGTTGTTGCTAAGAAGAGAACAGCTTGCTATACTTACGTTGCCTGTTTGGACTTAAGCTTCTATGGGGATGTTCTGAAGCTCCCACTCCTCAGACTTCACTGTTTATAGTTGTAGAAACACACCATTCAGAACTCTGTTTTAGAACAGCATCTGTAAACAAATGCAGCTGCCAACTTCATTGCATGCTGAATCGCCACATCAAATGGTATGGCTATGTATTATTAAATTAGTAGTGTAGTAGTGCTCGAAGCAAGTCTGACAGTGGTTGTGGTGGAGAGCCTGGAAGCTTGCCATGACTGCTGGCAGTGATTATGGGTTGATAAAGTGTGATGCAATATGATATCAGTCCTAAATGAAAATGCCACCCTATTAAAAATAAACTTTCTGGAGACTGGTAGAGTGTGGTGGGCACCTTAAAGGTTAGTGGGCTTCTGCAGAAGTGGTTCTAAACTGGTTCCTGAACCCTTAGTCTTCAACATTGCTGTCACACATGTCAACTAGTCTGTGGATTTGCCCTAATGAAAGGGAACTGGTGAATATGAACTTTATACATTTGTATTGCTAGTTTTAAGAGTGTTTGAGGGTTGGCAGCAATCTCTTGACCTGAAAGCTGGAAATTCGTATTAGTGTAGGATTCCTGTAGTAACTTCAGTGTTTTTCCTAGAAGTTCAGAACTACAAAGCATGGACAGTCCCACTGACAGAGGCGTGGTCACTCTGTGGTATGTTTTTCAAGTTGGCTACTTTGGTTGAAATATCTCAGTAACTTTTTGTAAGATGTAGCAATGGACACAAAAAGACAAAAAAAAATCTGAAAGGAATTAGCTGTGATCTATGGAGAATAATGCTTCCTGGCAGACTTCTGACCCTCTTTGAAGAGAGGGACCTGCCGTTGTTGAAGGAACTTAAATTTTTTTCCACTCTGTGGATAGAGTAGGGGGTCTTGCTAATGGATGCAATTGCAACAACCAGTCTGTATGACTGCATCAGACTGATTAGCTGGGTCCTGGTTACTGCTGCGAGTGGTAATTATGCTAGTACAGCTGCTTTCTCTTTTTATGTTCTAATTACCACACGCATGGATGTCATCACCCTTAACACTGCATGGAGTTGTCCCATTAGCGTGGGAGTGGGAAGCAGCAGGGGAGGGAAGCTCTTCGGCGTGACAAGCCGTTTAGAAGTGAATGGAGTGGAGTGATGAAGCAAATATTCTTATGCAGAATTTTTGAGCCATCTTGTCTTTGAGATTATGCCCTCAGCCAACATTTTTGCAGGTTGTCAGAACCAGACCCATGTCCTTGGCAGCACTTTCCATGGGGTGCTGTTTACTGCAAAGCGCCTGGACACTGAGCTGTAGCTAGCAAGCCTCCCCCCTTCGTGTGGCTGGTTGTGGAGCCTGCAGTGCAGCGGCT